AAACCATGAGCCAGACTCCTCAAGAAAAAGAGGGAGAGGACTCAAATCAATAAAATTAGAAATGAAAAAGGAGAAGTTACAACAGACACTGCAGAAATACAAAGCATCCTTAGTGACTACTGCAGGTAACTCTATGCCAATAAAATGGACAACCTGGAAGAAATGGACAAATTATTACAAAGGTATAACCTTTGTAACTGAACCAGGAAGAAATAGAAAATATGAACAGACCAATCACAAGTAATGAAATTGAAACTGTGATTAAAAATCTTCCAACAAACCAAAGTCCAGGACCAGATGGCTTCACAGGTGAATTCTATCAAACATTTAGAGAAGAGCTAACACCCATCCTTCTCAAACTCTTCCAAAAATTTTCAGAGGAAGGAACACTCCCAGACTTATTCTATGAGGCCACCATCACCTTGATACCAAAACCAGACAAAGATACTACAAAAAAAGGAAAATTACAGACGAATATCACTGATGAATATAGATGCAAAAATCCTCAACAAAATACTAGCAAACAGAATCCAGCAACACATTAAAAGGATCATACACCATGATCAAGTGGGATTTATCCCAGGGATGCAAGGATTCTTCAATATACACAAATCAATCAATGTGATACACCATATTGACAAATTGAAGAATAAAAACCATATGATCATCTCAATAGATGCAGAAAAAGCTTTTGACAAAATTCAACACCCATTTATGATAAAAACTCTCCAGAAAGTGGGCATAGAGGGAACCTACCTCATCATAATAAAGGTCATATACAACAAACCCACAGCAAACATCATTCTCAATGGTGAAAAACTGAAAGCATTTCCTCTAAGATCAGGAACAAGACAAGGATGTCCACTCTTACCACTGTTATTCAACATAGTTTTGCAAGTCATAGCCACGGCAGTCAGAGAAGAAAAAGAAATAAAAGGAATACAAATTGGAAAAGAAGAAGTAAAACCGTCACTGTTTGCAGATGACAGGATACTATACATAGAGAATCCTAAAGGTGCCACCAGAAAACTACTAGAGCTAATCAATGAATTGGTAAAGTTGCAGGATACAAAATTAATGCACAGAAATCTCTTGCATTCCTATACACTAATGATGAAAAATCTGAAAGAGAAATTAAGGAAACACTCCCATTTACCACTGCAACAAAAAGAATAAAATACCTAGGGATAAACCATCTAGGAAGACAAAAGACCTGTATGCAGAAAATTATAAGACACTGATGAAAGAAATTAAAGATGATACCAACAGATGGAGAGATATACCATGTTCTTAGATTGGAAGAATCAGTATTGTGAAAATGACTGTATTACCCAAAGCAATCTACAGATTCAATGCAATCCCCATCAAATTACCAATGGCATTTTTTACGGAACTAGAACAAATAATCTTAAAATTTGTATGGAGACACAAAAGACCCCGAATAGCCAAAGCAGCCTTGAGGGAAAAAAACGGAGCTGGAGGAATCAGACTCCCTGACTTCAGACTATACTACAAAGCTACAGTAATCAAGACAATATGGTACTGGCACAAAAAGATAAACATAGATCAGTGCAACAAGATAGAAAGCCCAGAGATAAACCCATGCACCTATGGTCAACTAATCTATGACAAAGGAGGCAAGGATATACAATGGAGAAGACAGTCTCTTCAATAAGTGGTGCTGGGAAAACTGGACAGCTACATGTAAAGGAATGAAATTAGAACACTCCCTAACACCATACACAAAAATAAACTCATAATGGATTCGAGACCAAAATGTAAGACTGGACACTATAAAGCTCTTAGAGGAAAACATAGGAAGAACACTGTTTGATATAAATCACAGCAAGATCTTTTTTGATCCACCTCCTAGAGTAATGGAAATAAAAACAAAAATAAACAAATGGGACCTAATGAAACTTCAAAGCTTTTGCACAGCAAAGGAAACATAAACAAGACGAAAAGACAACCCTCAGAATGGGAGAAAATATTTGCAAACGAATCAGTGGACAAAGGATTATTCTCCAAAATATATAAACAGCTCATGTAGCTCAATATTAAAGAAACAAACAACCCAATCCTAATATGGGCAGAAGACCTAAATAGACATTTCTCCAAAGGAGACATACACATGGCCAAGAAGCACATGAAAATCTGCTCAACATCACTAATTATTAGAGAAATGCAAATCAAAACTACATATCACCTCACACCAGTTAGAATGGGCATCATCAGAAAATCTACAAACAACATTCTGGAGAGGGTGTGGAGAAAAGGGAATCTTCTTGCACTGTTGGTGGGAATGTAAATGGATACAGCCACTATGGAGAACAGTATGGAGGTTCCTTAACAAACTAAACATAGAATTACCATATGATCTAGCAATTCCACTACTGGGCATATACCCAGAGAAAACCATAATTCAAAAAGACACATGCACCCCAGTGTTCACTGCAGCACTATTTACAATAGCCAGGTCATGGAAGCAACCTAAATGCCCACTGACAGACCAATGGATAAAGAAGATGTGGTACATATATACAGTGGAATATTACTCAGCTATAAAAAGGAACGAAATTGAGTCATTTGTTGAGATGTGGATGGATCTAGAGACTGTCATACCAAGTGAAGTAAATCAGAAGGAGAAAAACAAATATCATATATTAACACATATATGTGGAACCTAGAAAAATGGTACAGATGAACCCGTTTGCAGGGCAGAAGTTGAGATACAGATGTAGAGAACAAATGTATGGACACCAAGGGGGGAAAGCCACCGGGCGGTGGGGATGGTGGTGTGCTGAAATGGGCAATTGGGATTGAGATGTATACACTGATGTGTATAAAATTGATGACTAATAAGAACCTGCTGTATAAAAAAATAACATTAAAAAATTTTTAAATAAATAAAGTTATAAAGGAGGTGAAGGGTTGAAAAAAAGTAACTATGTGAGGTAATAAATGCTAATTAGCTTGATTGTGGTGATCATTTCACAATGTATGAAGCCATCACGTTGTGCACCTTAAATATATATGATTTTTGTCAATTATACTTCAATAAAGGTGAAAAAAGATTTTTTAAAAGTTATAAAGATATTCTCATATACTTCTCATACTTTTCATTTTTGTTTTGTAACATAAGTAATTGACTTTCTATATATTATGAAAGTTTAATAATTTTTTTTCAAATTGCTAGCTAAGTTTTCACCTTTTGTTGAATAGACTATCTTCATATTTTCAAAATCTACTTATATTCTACAGTGTGTTGTATTTTTATTTACGGATACACTGCTTTTCCTTTTGAAATAAACCTAGCATCTTGGCCATCTGTCTGTTTTCTTGCCCTTTAGTTCAAGTACTAAAAGAGTAGAATATATATGGCCCCCATTTTTATGGACTTGCAAGCTTTCACCTCCAGAAAGTTACAATTTTTGAATCAAGGTTTTTAATGGTTTTTACTGCTGGTCTTACTTTTTTGTAAATGGTATTTTAAAAATTATGCTTTTAAACTGTTTGCTTGGTATATAGAAATATAATTATTTTTCATATTGATTTCATAACAGTACAGAAACCTTGCTAATCTCTCTTATTCTAATAATTTCACTGTAGATCCTTTTGAATTTTCTTTATCAACAGATAAATCATTTGTGAATAATGGTATTTTTGTTCTTTCTTCCTTTCCAGTCTTTTTTCTTTGACTTATTGAGCAGACTGGAACTCCAAGTATAATGCTGAATAGAAAGCATGATAACTGGACAACCTTCTCTTATCTCCAATTTTTTAAGGGGAATGCTCTTAACGTTTCACCACTATGTATAATGTTTGCGGTGGTTTTTCTCTTTATTTGTAGATGTCATTTATCAAATTTGGAGTATCCTTCTGTTCCTGGTTTACAAAGAGTTTTCTTTCTTTTTTTTTTAATGACAAATGGGTTTTTAAATGAGAACTTTTTCTGCACTGATTTTGACAAGATTTTTCACCTTATATTTATTAGTGAGGTGAATTGGATTATAGATTTTCTAACATTGAACTAATTTTGCAACCTGGATAAACTCAACTTGATAAATGATATATTCTTTTTAACACTGCTGTTGTGGGTTGCTAATATTTCTGGTTCAGAATTTTTCTATCTCTGTTCATGAGCAAGAATGGGCTATAATTTACCTTTTTGTAATGTCCTTGACAGTTTTTAGTATCAGTGTTGTACTAGCCTCATAAAATGAGATAGAGAATGTTTTTACTTCTTCCATTCTCCGAAGAGTTGGAGCAAAAGTGGAATTATCTATTCCTTGAATGTTTGGTGGAATTCACTGGTAAAACCAGCGGTGCTTGATGTTTTATTTGTGGGGAGACTTTTAATTACTGATCCAAGTTCTTTAATAGTTTATAGGACTGTTGAGGTTTATTTATTTCTTATTGAGTTTGGTCAATTTATATTTTTGAGGAATTTTCCACTTGGTCTAAGTTTTCCTATGAATTGACATAAATTTTTTCGCAACCCTGTTATCTTTCTAATCTTCGTAATGGTGGCTCCAGTTTTGTTCCTAATACTATTTATCTGTCTCTTCTCTTTTTCTCAGTCGATCTGACTGGAGTTTTGTTTAATTTTATTAGTTATTTCAAAGTACCAATTATTAGCTTAGTTGATCAAACCATGTGTTTTATCTTTGTTTTCAGTTTCATTAAATCCTGTTTATGTCTTTATTATTTTCTTCCTTCTACTTTCTTTGGGTCTCTTCTGTGTTTCTTTCCCTAACTTTTAATTTCTTTTCTAATACAAGCATTTGAAGTTATACATATTCCTAGTTCTTTATTTTATGTGTAATACAAAAATTGGCTGTCATTATTTTCAAGGTGGAGAAAAGAATCTTATTCTGACTTCAAAATTGCTATTGTCGATTATGGCTAAATTCATAATGCTCACCATGTCATGATTTTGATATATACATTGGAGAATCATACTTACCAATGTTGTTTTAATGTCATCTTGTTTCATATAGGAGTCACCTTTATTTGATCTTATTAAACAAGCAAAGGACCGAGAAGGACCAGCTGATCACCTTGAACCTGCTTGTACTCTCAACCTTCCTCTCCAGAATAATCACACTGCAGCAGATATGTAAGTAGAATATCTGTTGTGTCAATCCATTCAACTTGCAAATAGATTCTGAGCATAGTGTGATGCAAGATGTTATACAAAAGCTGTAGGGAATAGAACTTTGAATAAGACATTTTTCCTGCTTTCAGGGATCAGGAGTATAAGATACATGACCCAAATAAAGTTCATATACAGTGGTACAGAGTGCTACTGAAATCACTCAGGTTTGGTGTAGTTAGGACACCTTTCATGCAGAGATGGCAATTTAGATAGTCCTCAAAGGTAGAGCAGGATCTCAACATGGAAACTGGAGAGGAGGGAAGAGACCGAAATAGCATGAACCCCAAAGTATAGCAGCCAGGAAAGCAGGAAACATTTTTCAGGGAGTACAGCTCAGTGCATCTGGAGTGAAGCATAGGATGGGGCAAAGGGAGTAGTGTGGGATCCGAGACTAAAACGGTTGATTAGTGCATGATGGTGTGATGGAAGAAGAAGGAGATAACTAACATTTATTGAGGGTTCACTGTGTGCTGGACAGTGACCTAACAGCCCTGTAAGATAATAGACACGGCTGTCAGCCTCCGTTATCTATGAAGAAGGAATTAGAAATCAAACTCAAGCAATCTGACCCCAAAGCCCATGCTCTTAAGCAGTCTAGCTACATTGCCTTTCATAGAAATGTGCCTAATGTTATGTTCCTGTTCAGTTCTGTTTAGGAATTGACATTACAGGGTTCTGTGATTAGTGCAGGGACTGTTTTCCAGAGATGTCATTTCCATGCTAATTTGTACCAAAGTATTTCTGGCATATGGAGCTTCTGCCTTCATGTATAAATTTGTTTGCTAGGTAATACATAAATATAAATAAGTCAAGCCTTATCTTTTTCTTTAATTCAATAAGCAGTTGTCCGTTAGGTGCCAGGAAGTGTTCTAGGCACTGGGAATACAAAGGCGAATAAGATGGACTAGGTCCTTCCCCTCATAGAGCTTACGCTCTGGAGGAAGGAAATAAACAGTGAACAAGTAAACTAATACATAAGGTTATTTTAGAATATAATAAGTTCTGTAATAGAAAGAAAGAGAATGATGTGAAAGAGAGAAGCTAAGAGAGTGTTAGAATGTTTAGGGAAGCTTTCTCTGATGAAGTGCTATTTGACCTGAGACTTCAAGAACAAGTGGGTGCTGGCCAGGCAAAATCTGTATGATGTGCATTACAGGCACAACAAACAGTATTAAGTGCAGTGGCCTTGGGTGGTCAAACTTAGCTGGTCTGAGGAACAGAAAGAAACCCCGAAGCAAACAAGAGGAAAATGGTACAAGATGGGGCTGGAGAGGCAAACTGGAGCTAGACCTTGTAGGTTCTCATAGGCCGAAGGGAGGAGTTTGGGTTTTAGAAGGGCAGTGGGAAAACATTAAGGTTTTAAGCAGGGGTGCAGCTTGCTATAATGGGTGTTTTTAAAGGGTCAGTTTCTGGCTGCTACTTGAGGTACAGGTGGGTTTGGAGGAGGGAAAGGAACAGGGCAAGGAAGAAAGTAGAAAGACCAGTTTGGAGAAAATTTCAGTAGTTCAAGTGAGAGATGTAAACGACTTGGTCTAAGATATGTCAGTAGAGATACAAAGAAATGGAAAGATCTGGGGTGTATTTTAGAGGAATATTTAATAGAACTTTCTTTTGCATTGGGTTTGAAGATTGGGAAAAGGGAAAAATTAAAAATACCTCCTAAGTTTTTAACTTAAACTGGATGTAATGTGGAGCCATTTCTTGACATGGGAAGAATAGGAGAGAAATCAAGAGCTCCACTTTGGCCTTCTTAAGTCTGAGATTCAAGTAGCGAAGTCCAGGAGGTAATGTGGTCACGTAGAATTCAAGGGGGACTAACTTCTACCCAAGTTAAGTCAGTCTACAATATTGTTAGTTAGTGAATTGAAGGGAAATTCAAGGGTGATAATAGACTAGACCCTGGTACTTTTAAAGTTATGATGGTGATTCCCTTTTCCTAGTGTACTAGTAAATATATTGCATGTACTAGAAACATCCATAGTAAGGTACAAATCCTACTTCCTGCTCAGAATGATTTCTCAGCTACTAAAACAAAATTAGAAAGTTATGCTTTGGTGTTTACTCCCTAGTACTTGCTCTTCATAGTAGATTCTGGGATATTTTTAAAAGGCTGTAAACCTTTTACTAATAGTGACCTTAATAAAAAGTGTTCTTGAAAAAAAAAAAAAGAAAGTAGACCTGGATTATCCTCTAAAATAAAGGGTAACACAGAGCAGTAGAAGGTCAGAAATTGAGAAATAATTTTACTAATATCTCTGCCTTGATTTATGCCTGACATATTTTTAGTATACAGGTATAAATCTGCCTTGATAATGTTACCTGAAATATTAATTCATATAATTGTGTACTATATAATTTAGGAGGGAGTATGTATGTGTAACGTAAGTGCTATGTATATGAACCATAGTTATCAATGAAATGTTTTTAGGAGAGAATCAGAGAAATTGATATTTTGATATCAGTGGCTTGTTCTTTTAAGCTGGAGGAAGGACTGAACCAGAATTCTGGAACCAGAAGTTCTGAACCAGAATTTTATGAACTCAGTCCCACTTTAATTATTAGAATTGAACATATAAACATATGCAGCTATTTTTTAAATAACGCAGTAATTCCCAAGAAAAGCCATTTATTGAAATAGAGTTAGAAATGATAAGGACAAGCTTAGTTTTCCTATTAATCTCTCTTTTCCAACTTGTATTTAAAGAGGGATTTGGTGTAGAACAGTAGATTAAATAGACAAGATGTGTTTGGATGCATGTGTACAGCCATGAGTGTGTGTGTGTGTGTGTGTGTGTGTGTGAGCGAGAGAGAGAGAGAGAGAGAGAGAGATTCTTAGCAAACTTCAAATGAAGTATTTTCCTTTGAATATATCTAGGTATCTTTCTCCTGTAAGATCCCCAAAGAAAAAAGGGTCAACTACACGTGTAAATTCTACTGCAAATTCAGAGGCACAAGCAACCTCAGCCTTCCAGACTCAGAAGCCATTGAAATCTACCTCCCTTTCACTCTTTTACAAAAAAGGTTAGTAGATGATCACTCTCAAGAGCATGGACTCTGAAATGAGGCTGACAATTCAAATCATGGCTCTTCTGCTTAACTAGGCGTGAATTTGGGCAAGTCGCTTTAATATCATATGACCCAGCAATCCCACTACTGGGCATATATCCTGAGAAAACCATAATTCAAAAGGACATATGTACCCCAGTGTTCATTGCAGCACTATTTACATTAGCCAGGTCATGGAAGCAACCTAAATGTCCAACGACAGATGAATGGATAAAGAAGATGTGGTACATATATACAATGGAATATTACTCAGCCATAAAAAGAAATGAAATTGGGTCATTTGTAGAGATGTGGATGGACCTAGAGTCTGTCATACAGAGTGAAGTAAGCCAGAAAGAGAAAAACAGATATCGTATATTAACGTATATATGTAGAATCTATAAAAATGGTACAGATGAACCTATTTGCAGGGTAGGAATAGAGGTGTAGACGTAGAGAACAGACATGTGGACATGGTGGGGAAGGGAAGGGTGGGATGAATTGGGAGATTAGGATTGACATATATACACTACAATGCGTAAAATAGATAGCTAGCGGGAACATGCTATAAAGCACAGGAAGCTCAGCTCGGTGCTCTATGATGACCTAGATGGGTGGGATGGGGGTGGGGTGGGAGGGAGGTCCAAGAGGGAGGGGATATAGGTATAAATATAGCTGATTCACTTCATTGTACAGCAGAAACTAACATAACATTGTAAAGCAATTATACTCCAATTTTTTAAAAAAAGGGAAAAAAACCTTTAATATCTCTATGGCTGTTTTCTCATCTGTAAAATGGAAATAATAATAATCTACCTTGTATGGGTTTTGAGATATTAAATGAATTAATACATAAAACACTTCCAACAGTGCCTAGCACATGGTAAGCACTCAGAAAGTGTTAGATGTTGTTATTGTCGCTGCTACTGTTATGCTTTCAAACTTATGCCTGGAAATATTTGCTCCTAACATTACTTTTGCTGTTCAGGTGTGTGAGTTGAGATTATACAATGTGTTATGGCCTAGTGCAGGTGCATTTCCTGGTAACCAGGTTGTATAGCATGCTCTGATTGTGTGTGTATGTGGTGGGATGGGGAGGTCATTTGGGTGTCTGTGCATGTGTATATACATGCAAGTGCACACCCACTTGGAGCTCTTTGAAGGAAAGTAAAAGGCCACATTCCTCTGTGATAAATCATTTTTCTGATTTTTATTCAAGTCAGAGATATACTGAACTTTATAGGCATGTTATAAGCCCTTACGTTAAGAGCGTTGGTTCCAAAGTGTGGTCCCCAACCAGCAGAATCCACCTCACCTGCTAAGTTGTAGAAATGAGAATTTTTGTTTGAGCCCTGCCCCTAGAACTACTCAGTCAGAAGCTCTAGGATGAGGCAAAAAAAAAAAAAAAAAATCATTGTTTTTACAAGCCCTCAATGCAAGTCTGATATAAGCCAAAGTTGAGGACCACTGGGATAAATTAACTAAAAAATTCTGATTACCTTATACAAGTCTTTGAAAAGTAAATTTAAACCAAGGGTTATTATGTTTAAAGTAGATGGAGGAAAATTCAGTTTTGTGGATTACTTTTCTCCAACCTATGTTCCACTAGCATTTTTTTAATAAACTCTCTAAATTTAATATCACAGTCATATTACCACTTAGGTAATCTACAAGTCTAGCATTTTTATAGAGAAATACACTATTTGTTTTTTGTTTTTAGGATTGGAAAAATTGAGGGACTTTGGAAATTCCATTATTTTAAAAAATAATTACCCTCTTGAATATTGATAGTGAGAATTTTCAACATCTGTGATGAGAGATTACCAGTGGAACTGAAACAAACTCTATTTGGATTGTCTAATTTCACAAGATCTTAGGATCTTTATTCCTCCGCCTCAACTTTATTTTATTTTATTTATTTAATTTATTTTTGGCTGTGTTGGGTGTTGGTTGCGGCACGCGGGATCTTCGTTGAGGCATACGGGATCTTTCATTGTGGCGCACGGGCGTCTCTCTAGTTGTGGCGTGCAGGTTTTCTCTCTCTAGTTGTGGTGTGCAGGCTCCAGGGCGCGTGGGCTCTGTAGTTGTGGCGTGTGGGTTCCAGAGTGCGTGAGCTCTGTAGTTTGCAGCACGCAGGCTCTGTAGTTGAGGCGCAGGAGCTCAGTAGCGCACGGTCTTAGTTGCCCTGCTGCATGTAGGGTCTTAGTTCCCTAACCAGGGATCGAACCCGCGTCCCCTGCATTGGAAGGCGGATTCTTTACCACTGGACCACCAGGGAAGTCCCTCTACCTCAACTTTATGCTGTAATAATTTAGCAAAAGAATTTTTTTTGCTGAATATACTTTCAGCAAAGTATTATTTTGCCTTCGAGTATCTAGGACAGTGCTAAGGCTACAAATCATTTATTCATAAGGAAGACAGTGGTAGAGATGAAGTTAATGTTAAAATGCTATTTAACAGCATTTGGTTATAGCAATTTAATGTTTTGAAAAAATCCACTTGTGATACAAAATTAAGAGTAAATGTGGGGCTTCCCTGGTGGCGCAGTGGTTGAGAGTCTGCCTGCCGATGCAGTGGACATGGGTTCGTGCCCCGGTCCAGGAAGATCCCGCATGCCGCGGAGCGGCTAGGCCCGTGAGCCATGGCCGCTGAGCCTGCGCGTCCGGAGCCTGTGCTCCGCAGCGGGAGAGGCTACAACAGTGAGAGGCCCGCATACCGCAAAAAAAAAAAAAAAAAAAGAGTAAATGTGATTAATTCCCCTTATTTTTCCAGTGTATCGACTAGCATATCTTCGACTAAATACCCTGTGTGCACGCCTTCTGTCTGACCACCCAGAACTAGAACATATCATCTGGACCCTTTTCCAACACACACTGCAAAATGAGTATGAACTCATGAGAGACAGGCATTTGGACCAGGTAAGAAAATTTTGCACTTTTCCTACTCGACTCACTTGTTAGCTGTGTACTGATTTCTTAAGAAAAGGTTAGATTCAAATGAGAAGCTGCATCGATTTAGTAGACTTAATATATATTTGCTTGTTGGCTGCCCTTTATATTTTTGCTATATTTCTTACAAATGAGAGCTTTAGAGCTTGAGAATATTTCAATAACTTTATTTATTTAATGGCATGAAAGATCTCACTGCAAAGCTCACTGAAGAAACTTTATCATAGGCTTTTTCTATGTTGTGGTAAGCTAGAATTCATTTAGTGTGGAAAAAGCATGAGACTTAAGAATAGTTGATCTAGGACTTCCCTGGCCCAGTGCTTAAGACTCTGTGCTTCCACTGCAGGCTGCAGGGGGCATGGGTTTGATCCCTTGTTGGGGAACTAAGAACCCCCGGGGATCTTAGTTGATCTAAAAAAGACCTAAAAAAGAATAGTTGATCTAAAACAGTGTCAAATGAATAAATGAATGAGTTAATTTACAAAGACCATCTCTCATATCTTCCTCTTTCTTCTCTGTTTATGGAATAATATTTTTGTAACAGTTTTATTGAGATGTAATTCATATACCATGCTAATTACCCATTTAAAATGTACAGTTCAGTAGTTTTTAGTATATTAACAGAGTTGTGCAACAATCACCAAAATCAGTTTTAAAATATTTTCATCATGTCAAAAAGAAACCCTGTACCTGTAGCATACACGCCTCTATTCTCCTACCCCCTCTAACCACAGGCAACACGCTAATCTACTTTCTGTCTTTATAGACTTGCCTCTTCTGGACATTTCATATAAATGGAATCATATAATGTTATCTTTTGTGTCTGGATTCCTTCACTTACTATGTTTTTATTGTTCATCTGTGTTATAGCTTGTATCAGTACTTCATTCCTTTTTATTGCCAAATAATATTCCATTGTATGGCTATACCACATCATGTTTATTTATTCATCAGTTGATGTACATTTGGTTTCCACTTTTTGGCTATTATGAATAATGTTAATGAAAATTCATGTGCAAGTTTTTGGGTGGATGTATGTTTTCATTTCTCTAGGGTATTTACCTAGGAGTGGAATTGCTGGGTCATATGGTAACTCTTTGTATTGCCTTTTGAGGAATGGCCAGATTGTTTACTAGCATGGCTACCCATTTTACATTCCTGTCAGCAGTGTATGGGGTTCCAGTTTCTTCACATCTACACCAACTTCTTATTTGCCTTTTGGATTATAGCCATCTTAGTGGATATGAAGTGATATCTCTTTGTGGTTTTGATTTGCACTTCCCTGATGGCTAATGATATTGAGAATCTTTTTGTGTTCTTATTGACCATTTGTATATCTTCTTTGGAGAAATAGTTATTCAGATACTTTACCTATTTGTTCATTGGGTTGTCTTTTTATTGTTGAGCTGAAAGGGCTTTTTATATATTCTACATGCAAGTTCTTTATCATGCAAATCCTTATATGATTTGCAGATATTTTCTCTCATTCTCTGAGTTGTCATTTCACTTTCTTTTTTTTCTTTTTTTTTTTCATTTCACTTTCTTGATTGTGTCCTTTGAAGCTTTTGGTGCTTTAGTGCTTCAAAAGCTCAGATTTTCTTTTTCTTCTTGAGTCAGTTTTGGTAGTTCGTGTCTTTCCTTAAACTTTTCTGTTTCATCTTAGATATCTATTTGGTTGATATGCAGCTGTTCATAATGTTCCCTTTTAATCTTTTTATTTTGGTAAGGTTGGTAGTATTGTTCCCAGTAAGAATGATATTTTGAGCAAAAGATGAATTATTGTATAAAGGTATAACCTACAAATATGTATATTTTACAAGAGCATATTTGAACTCTAAATTCTAGTATGTTGGATTTTTTTTTTAGGTAGGCACTTATTGCCTTATGGGTCTACTGCTTTTCTATAATATAGAAAGATAGACAGTAGTGCTAAGGATTTCTAAAGAGATTAGGTATCTGGAATCAAGAAGATTTTGTGAGAGGTATCTTAGGTAAAGTATTGAAATAGGAGAACAGTGTGAATTAGCAAAGAGGATACTTGGATGGCATTCTAAACGGGAGAAATAGTAGTACTGGGGCTGTTTAAGATGCTAAACAAGGGATGTTGAGTAGGTATTCTTGGCGGTAGATGGGAGCAAGAATGTTGCAGAAGATATCAGTTCTTAAATTAGGTAGTAAAATTCAGACAAATTAAGAAAGTTCGATGTTTCAAAGTCACAGAAAATCACTTCAAATTTTATTTTTATGTTTAAAATACCCTTCTCTTTAAATGTAATATGTGTATAGAGTAATCCATATATCATAAGGATACATCTTAATGTAAATTCATCAACTGAACTCATCTATGAAAGCAAATCAAGAAACAGAACGTTGTCAACAGAAGACTGTCTCCTGTCCCCTTCCAGTTACTGCATCCCCCTTAACACCACCACTGAGTATAGTCAATATTATTTTATCTAATAGTTTGAACCCTTTTCACACCTGGCTTTTTTTTTTTAAGTGTTAGTTAAACAGTTAATTGATTCCAGTTTCAACTTTTCTCTTCTGAGAAACATTTAAGGAACAGGAGCCAAAGTTAGGGTTATTTACAAACCAGATGATCTGTCCTGAATAATTGAGAGTTGGCTATTTGCATTCTGTCCTTTAAATACTTTACATGTACATTCAAACTGAGCTCAGGATGGGAAAAGATAATTCTGTAGGAAATTAAATTTCCATTTTTTGAAACTAAAAGAAAAATAACAGTGTTTTTTAGAGTACAACCATGCAACAAAATCCTGACTATTTTTATATCACATTTATTTACTAGATTATGATGTGTTCCATGTATGGCATATGCAAAGTGAAGAATATAGACCTTAAATTCAAAATCATTGTAACAGCATACAAAGATCTTCCTCATGCTGTTCAGGAGGTAGGTAATTTTCCATGGTAAGAATTTTCCAGATATATACATATCTGTAATATGGATAGCTTCAGTCATTAATTATATCATATGTTCTGACTGTATTATATAAATTTACATATCAACTTTTTACTTTCGTATTATTGGTTAATTATTTGTAACTAAAATGTAATTGGGAAGTTAACACACTTTAGTATTCAAATTCATACTATAAAGTAAATAAAGAATACTATATCCCTGACAATAAGCAGGATATTTGTAATAAACTTTTACACAAATATATAAAAAACGTATATATCTATGACATTTCACTGCTAGTAGAGCAGCTATAATCCAAGCCTAAGATGGCTTTTTCGGATTGTTTTTGCCTGTAAAATATGCGTTTTTACTGTAAATAGTATTATGAACTATTAAAATAGAAAATCTAGGCTTCCCTGGTGGCACAGTGGTTAAGAATCCGCCTGCCAATGCAGGGGACACGGGTTTGAGCCCTGTTCCGTGAAGTTCCTACATACCACGGAGCAACTAAGCCCGTGCACAACTACTGAGCCTGCGCTCTAGAGCCCGTGAGCCACAGCTACTGAGCCCGTGAGCCACAACTACTGAGCCCGTGTGCCACAACTACTGAGCCTGTATGTTACAACTACTGAAGCCCACGCACCTAGAGCCCGTGCTCCGCAGCAAGGGAAGCCATTACTCACCACAGCTAAAGAAAGCCCGTAGGCAGCAACAAAGACCCAATGCAGCCAAAAATTAATTAATTAATTAAAAAAAAAAGAAAGTCTAAGGAGTTAAATACCCAAATTCATTTAACAAGTGTTTTTGCTCTTCTTCCTCAGACATTCAAACGTGTTTTGATCAGAGAAGAGGAGTATGATTCTATTATCGTATTCTATAATTCAGTCTTCATGCAGAGACTGAAAACAAATATTTTGCAGTATGCTTCCACCAGGGTATGTTAAAAAGCATCCTTTGTTTGGGAAAATCTAATTATAAAGCAGTGGATCTCACTAAAACGTTAAGTAATCTACTTTTTTTGTTTTTTCCTCTAGCCCCCTACCTTGTCACCAATTCCTCACATTCCTCGAAGCCCTTACAAGTTTTCTAGCTCACCTTTACGGGTTCCTGGGGGGAACATCTACATATCACCCCTGAAGAATCCGTATAAAATTTCAGAAGGTCTGCCTGTGCCAACAAAAATGACTCCAAGATCAAGGTTTGTGTTTTCTTTTTAGGGAAGTGGTAAAGAATAAGAGGGACTTATTTTGATCCAAGCTTAAGAACACAAAGCTTTCTTCATTTAAAATAAGCTAGATTTGAGACCCTAATTTCCTCATTTATATTAAGTGATGTGATAAGAATTGGGGGTCCGGGGGTAGGTAATCTGGTTACTTAGATGGGTTTGCACATTTAGTCATCAGCTTTCCTGGCTGCTGGGGTCTGTTCTTTTGTAAACAGTCTGAGCACCAGTTTGATGATAAGTTTCAAAGTCACTCCCATGTTTTTGTAAGTAGCCAGTCTGCTAAACAAAGTAGATTACTTTTGGTTAAGAATTTTTATTGTGGAGTTTACTGAATGTCCTGTGAACTCTTTCTGTGGATGTGTTCATCTTGCTTATAAAAATGTAGATGACTGATTAAATGTAGGTGACTGTAAATTAAGTCTTTAGAAGTCCATCCCTAATTCTGCCTGTGGCCTCTTTGTATTAACTTGGGCAGGTCTCAGGGTGCTGTGGCTCAGGTAAATGATGAGTGTGAAACTGTTTTAAATTCTCAGATGAAAGGTTCTGTGCAGCTACAAATCAGTATATTATCTTCCACATCCAACAGCAAGTGCTCTCTGGCTTTTGAAGTACTTCAGTTGACTCATTATGTGTTATCAAGGGCTATTTAAAACTGACTTTATTTGGATGAAGTGGAGGCAGATTTGCTTGTAAAGTCTCAGAAAACGTTAGCCCATATAATTGTACTTAATGGGCAAGAAAAACAAGAAGGGGATATATTAACCCTATAGAAAAAATTCGTGTGGTGTGTTTAATTATATAAATAATGCACACTCATAAAAATTTCAAACTCTACAGTAAAAGAAAAAGTAGAAAATAATTGGCAAATGATATAAATGCTCCCATGTGCCCCTGTATCGTCTTCTGTTTATTTGGTGTTCTTATAGTTGAGTATCTGTGTACTGATATCTACAAATTACATTATAAGCTGCTGAGATGCCACACCATGTCTAATTTGTACACATGAAAACGTATACTTAGCTAAATTTTTAATGGTGATAATTAACCCATGTTATGCTGGTAATGATGGCTTTTTTGCTGATCTTAGTTAAATCACTTCCAGGTTGGAGTCCTTTAGCAAAAAAGTCACATTCTGAAAATCCTGATAAATCATTGATCAAGTATTAAGAGAGCATCTTAACACTCTACATATTCAGCATATTTAGTTAAATCAAATATATCAATATATAGAATGATGGCCACTTATCAAAGAATTGGAGGACAATAAAATCCATATATTTATTGATTCCATGTACATATGATCAAATCTTTGTTGTGTCAGGCTAATGCTGTTCTTCACCTTTATTATCAGGAGTGTAAATTATATGGTTCAAGCAAGGACAAACTAATAAGAGATTTCTGATTCTAGGATATGTGTTAAATAGCCTTTACTATATATAGTAAATATATTTACTATACTATATATAGATCCTAATTAGAATTCTGATTATCACATGTAAGTTTTTGCCAAATGTAACTTGAATTTTTAATGAGAAAAGGTGAAAGAAATTTTAATTGTTAGTCATTGATTTATGAAGAATTAAGTATGGATAAACTTAAAATTTTCTTTTACCCTTTTTAAATGTGAACAATGGCAGAATATGTTCTTGCAGACATGCAGGTCTTGCTTTAAAAAATCTAAGGAACCAGTTCAGTGTTTGACTAGACTAGCAGTACCAGAATAAGTCTCTAATGAGTATAATTTGTCAGTGGTTCCAGGGGTAGAGGAAACCTTTGATTTGGCATTCCTGATAGTTCAGAATGACGTGTGTATGTTTACCTCTGCACAGTTGAATATGATTTGCATTTTACTAATTTGTATTTTATATTAACTTGACAGGATCTTAGTATCAATTGGTGAATCATTTGGGGTGAGTACTTTTCCTGTGAAATACAATAGTATGCACTATAACTATAAAAGAAATCGAGAATTTCTATAATTGAATTTACAAATGCTATTATTCAAGCACCTCATTCAGGCATATTGCGTAGAATCTAGAAGACATCAGATTTATTTTCAAATCAGATTTAATTTTAAATCGTATTCATAATTGGTGCATTTCAAAGTTGTTTTCTAAACATTTCTTTGAGATTATATATGTATGTGTATACATTCATGTCTATACATACAAATATATGCCTTATATAATCTCAAAGGAATGTTTTAAAAAACAGCTTTGAAATTCACTAATTTGAAATAAGATACTCCAAAATGTAATCACTGTGTCCAGATGTCACCAGCCAGTCCTTACCCACTGGTCTCCTTCTATACATATACACACTTTTGCTTTTCTTCCTCTCCAAATTCTAGGATATTCTTTCCCTGTTAAATTGATAAGGAATTGGTTACATGCCCCAGTGTAAGTGACAGAGTCTGTGGTGGTCTTTGTTCCAGAGGAATGCAGGGCAAAGCTTAGCTTTGAAATGGTTATTCTAGTCTGGGAACCCATTACTCTAGCTGGCCTTGCATTACGATCACTAATTCAGCAGTCCTGTATTCAGTATGCATTACTATTAATGTTTCATACTACCCACCCCTCTGCCTATATTTGTTATTTATTGCTGCGTAACAAATCACCCCCAAACTTAGTAACTTAAACCTTTTTTCATCTCAGTTTCTGTGGGTCAGTACGCAGGCATGGCTTAGGATCCAGGGTCTCTCCAGACAAGGCTGCAGTCAGTGTATCACCTGGAGCTGCACTTATCTCCAGGCTCACCTGGAGGATGACCTCTCAGAGACTCATTCATATGGCTGTTGGCTGATCCTCGATGGCTACTGGTCCAAGCCATCAGTTCCTTGACACGTGGGCTTGTCCGTAGGGTGACAGGCTACTCACAACATAGCAGTTTGCTTCTCCCAGAGCAAGGACTCCAAGAGAGGGAGGCAGGGAACGAGGGAGACAAACAAGCGAAATGGAAGTCACTCTTGTAATCTTGGAAGTGACTTTCCATCACTTTTGCCACATTATTTTGTCAGGAGCAAGACACCACCAGGTCCAACCCACACTCAAGGAGATGAGGATTAGTGAGAGCCATTCTAGCATCTGCCTGCTGCACTACCCCAAATGAAATAACTAGAGAACCATAAATGTTTGTGTACTAAAAGACCAAATGTTAAAATGTTTGTTACAAATAGTAAATGCTGTGATGTTTAGCTCAATATAGGCTGCAGCTGTCAGGCTTCACAAAGGGGATATGGACCACATAAATAGGATTGGATCTGGATAAGTATAGAGTAGTGGTCTTCAAACTTTTTTGCTTGCCATAGCCTCTAAAAGAATTGAGAAAATGTTATATGTACTTCCATATTTTAAAGCTGATAACTGAAAATCTTATAAATTTAATAGGTGCCCAGAATTTTGTTTCTATCATATTGTACATGTGCTCTAAATATATTTTCCATCAAAATCTGGTTTTGCATTTAATTTTTTTGAAACTTAGTTCATTTAATTTTTGGAAAATAAAGCATAATTAGCAAAGCTAATCCTTACTGTCAAATAAGTCAAATCACATTTAATTTCTATCAGAAAGTCTGACTTCATTCTTGAGTTCAAATAAATGTGTTAATACACATCACTGAGATTATCACCTCACTCTGGTTCTGAAATAGATAGACAAGACATAGAGTTTTTCCATGTGTTTGTCCTTTGGATCAAATAAGGTATTGTGCCCCCTTTGGTATTTCTTACCAAAGCTTTTATCCTAACAATACGTCAATAATGGCTTCAAATATAGTATGACTTGTCAACATGATACCCATAAAGTGAGCCCCAAATTGTTATTCACTAAACATCGCTTATTAAATTCCTGTGACATTCTTTCCGGTTATGCTGTGCTCTAAAAAGAAAAAAAAAAATCTGTCAAAAATAAGGTTCCAGGAAGCTGTTCCAACTTTGCATGCTTCTGAGAAGTAGCCCTAGTTTTGTGTGTGAGTAGGTTCTGAAAACGAGGAACTAGGACTTTTGGAGTAGTCATCAGAGTTGTTGGGAAGACATAGGAGGGTTTGAAAATAGCAGGTATTTAATTGGGGCAGAGTTAGGTGCAGTTAGTCTGATTTTGACATTTTTCACATCTCTTATTTGGTCCATAAAGGCAGAAAATTAAAATGCAGATATTACCTCTGCCTGATTGTTGACCTACCTCAAACCTGCAATTAGGGGTTGCTAAGCAAAGTGGTGGCATTTAATGATTTAAAATAAAGAATTCCATAATTTGCAGACTTCTGAGAAGTTCCAGAAAATAAATCAAATGGTGTGTAACAGCGACCGTGTGCTCAAAAGAAGTGCTGAAGGAAGCAACCCTCCTAAACCACTGAAAAAACTGCGCTTTGACATTGAAGGATCGGATGAAGCAGATGGAAGGTAGGAGCCGTTTTTCAGGAGCTGAGCTGGTCATCGGGAGAACCCAGAGTGCCAGCCCTACTCCCGACTTACACCAGTCCTTCTCATGCCAGTTTTATTTGGAAATTATGAGGATTGCTCAAAATAGTAGGTGTGACTGCATCCCAAAGTTAAAAGCACCATGTAAATCTACTGAAATTAATTGAAAATATCAGATGTTAAAAATCTGGTCATTTTTTTACAAAGCTATTGATAAAATTTTGTTAGTTTTGATTAACATTAGATTTTTAAATGCTTACTCTTGAAAAATGCTACTGTGTTTCATAAGAACCACTGAAAAAATATCTAGGATCATAAATTTGTGACATTTATATTTTAGATGTTCGATTTATAAACCTTTGAAATTAAAAGCTACTCACTAAAATAAGAGCATAAAAAGTCATTGAAAACATAGTTATTGGAAATCTGAGGTTTTCATTTATACATATACATATGAAATATTTTGCATTTTTTAAATCTGCAGTAAACATCTCCCAGGGGAGTCCAAATTTCAACAGAAACTGGCAGAAATGAGTAAGTACTTATCATTAAACCTTATGTAAATGAACAGTCATTTACATTGCAGAAAGCCTTTTCACATTATAAAAGAATAAATTTATAGAATCTCTTCAATTAGTGACTTGGTTATGCGTTCAAGATATAATTCGCTCAAGCATGTGTTGTTTACTAGCCTGTATGGGTTAGATGTGTGATGCAAAGTGAAGGTCGTCTTCATCCTTCCTAAAATCTGTGCGGGAAGACCAAGAAGTGAAACCAAATCTTCAACACGAATGGCTGTGGTTAGAAAATATTTTAGGATAGCAGAATTGTAATGAGGTACCTTTATTTAAGAGTATTGGATGTGGGCAAGAATGTCATAAACTTAGCATATATAAACATCATCACCCTTATTTAAAGAATAATCTTTTATTCTGCTATTACTGAACTTCCCTAATTTGCAAGTTTTAGAACTTATTTTAAACAAAAGTTTTTCATTACTGGAAATCAGAATTTTGATAAAGAACACAAGAGCATTTTCCAAGTTATACAGAGTGACTTAAGTTTGGAATGTTAAGGCAAATGGACTTCTCTCCTAAGCTACTCTGACACTATGAAAGATTAACCCAAGTATAGTAGATGGGAAGCACATTAAGAAAAAGATCCGTGTGCACTGACTGCTACTGCGATGTCTTAGAGAGGTAGCCGTGAGGGTGAGTGTGACATTTCCTGATAATCTGGTGCCAGACCCATTAACAGGAAGCAGAGCTGGGTCTTGGAAAGAAGACAAATATTTAGGAGATAATAAGAATTAAAACTCTCATTCCTAGGTCATAGGACATATCAGTAAGAACAGTACCAATTAAAATGTGACTTTTTAAAAAGGGGCTTTCTCTCAATGTCTCTGTAGATACTAACTTTGAAATATAAAGTGTTTTTAAAAATACTTTTGATTTTTTAAACCATATTTCTATGTGTATTATTTTGAAGAGTACTGTTGAAACTAAATTAAATTTTGTGGTTATAAATGGATCTCTTTTTGGATTTTACATCAACTAATATACTCCTGTTTTAACTTTTAAATAGTTGTAGCTTTTCCCCCCAGTGCATGAAAATAGACATGAAGCTTATAACCAAAATCAGACCTTAAAAACATGTGGAAGCATTTTGGAACCCACAAATATGCATTTTAAAAGGAGCAGAAAGCTGTAAAAACGTGTATATTTTCTTATAGAAGAGCTCAGTTGCTGTAGTCAGTACATTTCGCAGTGACACACTTAGCTATGACCAGGAATTCCCTCTGCCGGGCTGAAGTTCAGGGCCTTTGTGCAGCTGAAAATTGAGGAGAGGTAGCAGGAGTTTTAACCCATGAGGATAAGGAATTCTCCAGGTTGCTCTTCAGCTTTCCTCAAAAAAAACTGTATTCAGAAGAAGATCATGACACAGTGCTAGATTGCTCAGAGTGGAAGGGCCAGAAGGGGAGACTGAGTCACTCCTTTCTTTACCAAGCGTGAGTGTTTTGTGCTTCTTTATGAAGAGCCTTTGCCCACCTCTAAAATCAAGTTAAGATTTTTTAAATTATTTAAGAGAAGCATTCTGTTTTTGTGTTGTAATTAATAATGTATTTTTAAATGTCCATGTCCAAATTAAATGAGCTGTGAGCTGATGTGTTTGCAGTACTTGCAGCGTGTCTCCAAACACAAGGGAATTCCTGGCTTCATGAAGAATAACACTCACTTCAGCAGACCAGCCCAGAATTCTGTTTTGCTCAGGTGCCAAACTTAACCATATCATCTCTAGAACAGTGGCCTACAAAGTTGGGCACACTTGGGTGTGTGTAAGACCACCTTTTGGGGGTACATAAAGAGACTGTTAGAATATTTGTCTTTATCTCATCTATTTTAATGTTTGGGGTGTGTGTGTCTTATAATTTAGACACATATGCATACATACATACATACATACATACATTTAGTGGTACTGCTTGGAAAAAAATTTGCTGATGGGGATGTATGATTTAAAAAACGAAACCACTGCTTTTGCGAGGCCCTGGGCTCCATCAGTTTGGCGTAAGCATAACATATGTGGCAGCCCTTTACCAGCTTACCCAGCACCGTCAGTGCTGTTAACATTTCTTCATCCTTGTTTTAGCATCTACTCGAACACGAATGCAAAAGCAGAAAATGAATGATAGCACGGATACCTCAAACAGGGAAGAAAAGTGAGGACCTCACGACCTTGGTGGGCACCCTGTACATCTCCGGCTTCATTGTCTCCCACAGATCTGACTGTAGAACTCTCCCAGGTTCTGTTTACGGCCACATTTGATACATACCTTCAGCTCTTTTTGTGGATAGCACAGTTGAATATTTGTGCAGGGGATTCCTAAGCCACTTGCAACATTGTAGTCACTAGAACATGCATTGTTATTGTTCAAGATTGAAAATCCTGTGCCAGTCCTGCCATTTAAAAAGCTTTAGCAGATGTTTCCATTTCCAAAATACAGTAAGTCCCCTACATACGAACCTTCAAGATATGAACTTTCAAAGATGTGAACAATTGAATCCAGCAAGGAACCAGAACCTGTGCCATTAATGTCAGGCGTGAGTGAAATTGCAGCTTGCCTTCCGTCTCCTATTGCTGACGATCCTTCAGCTCTACCATCTCCCACCTCCTTTCTCTCTTTCAGTCAGTAACTCTTCTTGCCTCTTCAGGCGATGCCAGCCCATGTGCCAGCTGTTGTACTGTACTACTGTACTTTTCAAGGTACTGTACTGTAAGATTAAAAATGTTTTCTTTATTTTTTGTGTTTGTTGGTTTTTTATGTATTATTTGTGTGAAAAGTATTATAAAGCTATTACAGTACAGTACTATATAGCCGATTGTGTTAGTTGGGTACCTAGGCTAACTTCGCTGGACTTACAAACAAATTGGTCTTATGAAGCACGCTCTGAATGGAACTCGTTCGTATGTAGGGGTTTTACTTATAATTGCTCTGCTTTACAAATGGTGGCAGGATCCCCTGGGAGTGAGAGTCCTCACAACCTGTGCCTATCTGAGTACTTTGTCTTCTCTTGTGGCATGTATGTGATGTTTGCTCTTATTTTTATTAATTTATATTTATTTTTTTTAACTTAACATGAACACCCTTAGAAAATGCGTCTTGTCTTCCAAATGCAATTTGGCTGACTGCCCCCATTCGCCCAAATGATCCTGAGCTCTTGTGCTAAAACATATATTAGAAACTAGGGAAAAATTACTAATTTTTACCCATTAGATTTTAGTTTACTCATGGAAACTAAATGGATGTACTGTGTGTTTGTTTTATAAATATTAGTTTTTAAATACAAACAGAAAGCAAAGTATAAACATATGAGATACTGTCATACTACTGATACAGATTTCATACCTCAGGACTTGTAAAAATTTATTCTTTTCTTCCTCCAACTCATGTTTTAAAATAAAGAGTTATTAATAGTACTCTTGGTTTTTATACCATTCAGATCACTGAATTCATGAAGTACCCATCTAGTGCTTGGAAAATAAAGTGTTCAGCTAGAGCTTTGCTGCAGAGGACCCTAATACAGTATATCCCAAGTGCACTTTCTAACGTTTCTGGGTCCCGAAGCATCAAGACACAAAATAATTTTACTCCACAAACAGACTGTTAACTATAGGAGCCTTAATTTTTTTCTTAGAGAGTTATATAATTACATCTCAGCAATTACTCTGCCCTCCTGAATGAGGGAAGAGGGTGTGTTTGTTCTGGAATGGTACATATCTTCCATGTATCTTTTGAACTAGCAGTTGTCCTTTTTTTTTTCTTAATTCAGCATGGTCTAACACTGGCATTTTCAAAGCCGCATCATTTCTCATCCAAAACGCGGGTAACAAAAGGTCTTTGGGATAGGCATTAATGTTTCTCTCTGATTTTGTGCAAAAGCTTCAATTTAAAACAGCTGCATTAGAAAAGAGGCGCTCCCCCCTCCAACACCTAAAGGTGTATTTAAATATCTTGTGTGATTAACTTATTTAGAGATGGTATAATTTAAAATAGGTGGTATTTAAGGTAGCATCTACTAGCTTTTAGGAAAATTACTTTGTCTAAACTCAGAGTTCTTTTTAAAAAGAAACCTGGTCTTATTTGTTAGAAAAAAAAACTTTATTTTGTGCTCAGTTAAGTTGCAAACTTATTTTTTTGACAGTTATCTTGATAGCAAAGGCACTAGAAAGCTTTATCTCATTTCCTCATTCATTTTTGCATGCATATCAAACAAATCAGTTAGTTTTTAGGTCAAGGGCTTACCACATTTCTGAGTCTTTTGCTAATAAGTTCATGTTAGAATTAGTGTCAGAACTTAAGGAACTTCAGAGATCATGTATTGAGATTTCTTAAATAAGGCTTCAGATATTGCTTTATTGCTTTTTGTATTGGTTAAAACTGTACATTTAAAATCGCTGTTACTATTTTCTACGATTAACAATAGTTTGTCTATTTTTAAATAAATTAGTTGTTAAGAGTCTTAATGGTCTGATGTGGTCTTTGTATTAAGTGCACTAACGTTCTCTTCGGTATCTAAATTCTCTCCTAGTATCTCATCCGTTCTTAGCCTTTAAGAATGGGCTTTATATGCTGATGAATCCCAGATTTATTTCTCCAGCCTGACCTCTTCATGGAGGTCAGAGCTCTCACAGCCAACAGAGCCGCTGATTCCTACCCCTCCTCCCCACCCAGCTTCTCAAAATACAAACCAAAATCAAACAAAAACACCCTTTTCTACCCTAGTCTTTTCCCATGTTATTAAACACTTACTTGCTCAAGATAAAATCCTGAGTCTTCTATTAGCTGTTGTCTGGACCACTGTTAAAGACTTCTAACTGGTCTCCACTTCCCTCTCTTTCCTCTTTACCTTTCTACTCCTTAAAGACCCCTTTAAAATATAAATTGATTCACTTTGCTCCTCTCCTTGAAGTATTCAGACTCCTGATCGGGGCCTGGGAAGCGGCCCCTACCTTCTTCTCCGTCCTGTTCTCGGGCTACTTTCTCCCTGCTCACTGTGCTTTACCCCCACTGGCCGTCTTCTCTTATGACGCCAAGCCCATCCCTACCTCAGGCTTTTACATTTGCTGTTCCTTCTGTCCAGCGTGCTCCTCCCCCAGGATTTTGCTTAGCTGGTTTCCTCTTGTCTTTCAGGGCTCAGCTCAGAGGCCTTCCTTGACACCCAAGCTAAAATCCTTCCTCTGTACTGTGCCACTCTCCTTCAAAAGTGTAACAGCATTCATCACCGTCAGAAACTGCCTTACTTGGGTTGCCTATTGCCTGTTTACCCACCCTGGCATCAACCTGGCTGGCCTTACCTACTACTATAGTTGTAGCATCTAGAAGAAGCCCGTATGTAGGGGGGAAAAAAGGTATGTTTTCTGTATGTTTTCCAAGTATGTAGAAACGATATTCTCTTTCTCTTTGAAAATGCCATGTATTGAGTACCTACTGTATTTCAGGCACATTCTAAAATGTGATACAACAAGTAAATAAAATTAAGATTCCCCCTCTCTGTGGAACTTACATTCTAATTCTAGTTTCGGGAAAAGAGAGCAAACGAATAAATAAAGGAGGAATATAGTATATGTGATTGTAATAAGTTCTGTGGAGAAAGACGTGCCGGGGGGAGAGCAGGGAGTACCGGTAGGGAGAGGAGTTTTAACACTTAAAGGACAGTGGTCAGGGCAAGACTTGCCGAGGTGCTATTTGAGCCAAGTGTTGCAGAGGGTGAGGGAGTGAGCCAGGCACCAGAGGGGGTAGAACAGAACACAGAGAGGAAGAAGCCAGTGCTCAGAGGTGGGTGTGCATCGGGTGTGTCTGAGGAAACATAAGATGTCATAGTAAGATGGAGAGTTTTAAGAAAAGGAGTTGGGGCAGGGGGGCAAGTATCTCTTTTCATCTAACACAGAGTTTATAAAGGCCTTTCCTTCCAAGCATCCTTCACATATATATATAAGTCTGCAGTCCTTTATCTGCAGTTCTGAAATCCAAAAAGCTTTCAAAACCAAGTGGTTCTGTGTGTTTGGTGCCAAAAGTCACATGGCATCAAAAACATCTAACCTGGCATAGGGCATCAAAAGCATATCTAAACTGGCATAGAGCTTTTGAGAAGCTTTATCCCACTTGTGGGAAGAGTCTTGTTTCACCATTAATGCATTGATTTGGGGGAGCTAACCTAGGCCCTGCTTAGGTAGATGTATATATATATATGTACATATATTATTATAATATTATATATATTATATTATTATATATTATATATATGTTATTATCACGTACATATATTATATAATATATGTACCATATGATCATACTAAACTCCAAAAAAATGAAGAAACCCGTCTGGTACCAAGGGATAATCTTGAGTTGAAGTAATATGATTTCTCAAAAACAGGTGGACAGTAAACGTCCCTCCTTCTGGAACAGCAGCATGTTTGTCCCTGAAGGAAGAAAGGCAAATAAGGAAGTTCCAGCAGGAAAAGCAGCAGGTATACCTCAGTACTGGGACTGTATTTACGTTGGATGCAGATCTTCCATGAAATGCAGTCTCTTAGGTCAGGGAAAAATCAAGCAGCCTTTATAACATTAGAAATTTTTAGTCTGGATGATAGAAAACTGATCACTTCTGGAGATTAATTTAGTATTCCAGTAATTAAAGGTCCTTATAATGAAAGGGACAAGTTCAAATTCAGTATTTACTTTATTCATTACAGTTTTCTGGTACAAATGGTGGGCGGCGGGGAGTATCAGTTCTATGACCGTCCGGATGATTTCCTAGAAGCTTGCCCGTAGAAGCATATTTTTGTTCCTCATTTTTGGGCCAGACAGCGTACGTGGCATTGGCAAGGATTTATTCGGTAGAATTTTCCTTTGGACTAAATAAATGTTTTACAGGACAACCTGAAACCTTGCCTCTAGACATAGCAAATTTCCACAAGTATGGGGTCTTAAATAGAAATATAGTAACACTGTATAATGTCTGAAAGGAATTAAAACAACTCTTTTAATAAGCTGGAATAGTCATCTATTCTTAGAAATACTTTTTTGTGTCCATTATCTTGGAACTATACTTACAGTCTAGTATTGACGTATGATGACAATTTACTGTGAAAGTTAAATTTATTCCACAGACCAATATCAGTTACTTTCTAAACAAAATGTTATGATTTTAACTGAATTTAGTGAGAGAAAGTCATTATGGTTTATGTTTTTATGCTTTGGCAAAGACTGAATTACAAATGACAGCACGGTATGGTTTTTCCTCTCTCTTTACAGTTCTCCCAACCTGTTTGTTGTGGTAATAGCACAGGGAGGACTCATAAGATAGATAAGACTATGTAGTTTGTAATTGCCTCTTTTTCATCATCACTGGTCAAGAATTCTGTGTCTAACACTCACCAGGTTATGGTCTAGAATGACTGGCAGTTTCTTCAGGTCTCAGATGAAAACATTTAACCCTTTTTAAAAAGCACTGAATGGTATCTTCACAAACCACTCTCAGCAGATGAGGATGCTACTTTATTCCTGTAAAACCTAAACCTCTCTCTGTGTAAGTTTGGGTGAAATTATATTGGAAGCACTAAAACATTGAATTTCTTGTGTGAGCAGAGAGGAAACAAAACTTAAGGATGGAAAATGTAAGATGAACTTAACGGATCCACTGACTTCTGATGTAGTGTCATTATGAAAATGGACCTTCCCTCCCACATATCCCTGACTAAACTTAGGGTTTCTGAGCTCTACAAACACTCATCTGTTAGAAAGAAATGAAGGAAATAAAGTGATATTATCCTTCATATAGGAGCACTGATGGCCAGCCTATCCTCAAAGACCAGAGAGAAAGCATGTTTTTTCAGAGAGATGTAACCACGGGACTCATCTGTCATCTCCAACTGGTCTAAAATCAGCCCTTCCTTATTGTTTGGCATCCCAGGTCTTAAGAGCTAAACCAACGATTCTCATCCTTGGCTAAACATCAGAATTACTTGGGGAGCTTCGTAAACATACTTAGAATCCTTGAATCTATATTTTGTAAAAGTTTCATAGATTATTCTGTTGTGCCCAGAGATAAGCAGCACGGAGATACAGAGCAGTGCAGCCTACACATAACAAGCTTAGAGGAAATCTAGATAAAGCTCCACCCACCCCTTCTTACTAACGTGTACTCTGGCAGAGCAGTGACCCGCTGGGGAGTCTCGTGGAGGGTAATCCATTTTACATCCCTAAATAAACTTACCTGTTCCCTTTGGGTGGTCCAGTATTTCCATGAAATGAGTTCATAAAAGAAAAAGGCATTGAATTCAGAAGACCCTGTCAGAAAAGGGCAAGAAAGAGGAAGAGGAGGTTTGGGAAGACTCTGTAAAATATAAAGGCTTTTTGGTCAGTGACAGTGAGCATAGTGGGCTGAGGAGAACGAGTCGGAAATGAAGCCTGTGGACGTCTGACTGTGAGAACTGATGGCGACTGGTAATACCCAGGCCTCAATGTTTCTTTGCTGGAGAGAACAGCTAACCTACTAAAACTACAGACAAATGGTGTAAGGCTGTAACATCTTACGGAAAAAAACCAGAACGAACTTTTTGGCCAACCCAATAAAATAACAAATACTACACAGTTCCAAAAATGGGATTCTGATTTAGAACTGGAGGCATCGAGACTCCTCTGCCTCTACCAGACAAGGTCTGCAAAAACAGATAAACAAAAAGAAACTAAGGATTCAAAAGTGACCTCACCAATAAAGAACATGGGCAATCATACGAACAGTTGATTAGAATTAGTTGTTTAGAAGCCATTTGCGTTTTAGGGTAGGCTTCGCTATGATGCCTTATCTGAGTAACTGCTTTAAAAAATAAGCTTATATCAAATGGATTTGTGTACATCGAAGAGACATAAGGTTGACAGAATCTTGCTGCTTCTGAAGAATGAAAACACACACACATTTGTTCTATTATCTGCAAATAAGCACTTTATTATCAAACGGTTCAGCATCAGAACAAGGTTTCCAAAAGAGGTTTGTTTCCCTACATAGTATCATATTGTGAAAGTACATGTTAGGAGACTCTACATCCTACATCCTGTTCCATTTTCTCATTTGTAGTTGGGTAACTTGATCTAAACGGTATAAATTCATCTCTTTCTTACTAGTGCTGTCCATGAAATGTAAGCGTAGTTCCTTTTCGGCTAGTACTTTATAATTACACTGTGCCAAGTTAAAAGACCTGTTTTATAGTGACATAAAAGTCAACTACAAGAAAAACAAAATCATTTCTACTTACAGAGGCAAATCTCTCTTAACACAGAAGTAAAGGACATTGTGCAATTATGTAAGGCAAATGAGCCCAGAAACAACATTCACTCAAAGATAGTACACTTCTTATTCGATAACCCCGTGTGAGAAATTAATGACTCAGAGTAAAGACAGAATTAAAATTAGCCCTTGGGTCTTTGACAATTTAATTGCTAAGGCCTTTTGTGAATTCCAATTAACGCTCTAAATTAGCCACTATTTCTTAGAACGATGTACAGAAGAATATGAGCCTCAGACGTTTTAAATTTGTTTTGTGAAAGTTATTCCTTCATCCAGTATCCCACAAATAAAGCTGTTCTCGGGGCATAATTAAGATTTGTATAAGCTGAGTGCCTTACTCTATGCAAGACACTGTGCTGAATGCTGCAGGTGTGGTAGTGACAGCATTCCTTGTCAAGCTATCTATGTGGTATCAGCCTGTTGAATATGGAAATCTGGCCAGAATAGCATATACTTAGACCCATGTACCTACCAAAAGTCTCCAACTTAAGTGACTCGAAAGAGGAAACGGTAAGTATAGTAAGACATTTCAACTTTATTCCCTTGAGCTTAGTCCCATCTGATCAGAGAGCATTTAATGCCTTTTCTCTAGATTGTGGATTTCAAAAGGTGGGGAAGACTGACCACCATCCTTCTTTTGACAGAACATTAAGTATTCAGCCAAATGTAGCTCATCATAAATACTATTAAAGAGAAATTATTCTCTGGCTTTTGCAGGGAAAATGGAAATGCTAAAAATTCTTTCCTGCAGGTGAGGATTAATTTTTAAAGGCTCCAACTCTGCTTGCTTTGCTGATAAAGTTCTTCAAGAGATCATGGTCCATTTCTGCAAAGCCTGACGTCTGTGTTACTACAGTCAAATGGTTTATGCAAAACCTGAAGCAGAATTCTTCTAAATCCTAGGAATGACAACAGAAATTTAACAAATAAAACGAACAAATTTGTTTTAACAAGTTCACATATCCCAATGCAATGCAACGTAGCACAAAAACTCCTAAAACACATAGGCAAGGAAAAAGGATTTGATGGCCAGCAGAAGGCAATGGGACAGCAATGCCTAAAGAACAGCTGTAAAACTATATAGCTAATATGAATCTATGCTTGCAAAAATTTAATTAACAGAGTAAAGCATTCAAGTGCCTCCACACTAACCAATGCAGAAAATGAGACTTTTTTTTCCCAGATAGGCGCCTAGATGTTTTG